AGGAAGCAGAAAAACAAGGGAGGATCCAAGGACAAGAATCAAGCCTTCCAAGTCATGCCTCTATTTTCTGATTCTTTCCAACTAGGCCCCAAGTCCAAATATGAGACTTTTGGGTGACATTTTAGATCTGAACCATAACAAAGACCAATGGAATAGATTTCTCAGAAGTAAAAATCTGCATATATTGTGCAGTGAGTCTAGGTTAAGGTGCCAAGATTATTCACTAGGGAAAGGACAATCTCTCAACAAATGATGTCCATAAAACTAGATATTCACATACAAAGATGGGCATGGACCTTACCCTTGCCATAAAGAAAAATTATCTCAAAGTGTAAAAATGACCTACACATAAAACTAAAATTATAACAATTAAAAGAAAAATACAGGAGAGATTTTTATGACACTGGATTTCACAATGATTTCTTGGACATCAAACCCAAAATACATGCAACAAATGAAAACATAGATAAATTAGACTTTATCAAATTAAAAAGTTTTTTGCAAAAAAAACCCTATCAATTGAGCAAAGAGGCCATTCAGAAAATGATAGAATATATTTTTAAATTATACATCTATTAAAGGATTAATATTTTGAATATATAAAGAATTTCAACAGGGTATGATGACAAGTGCCTGGAGTCCTATCAACTTGAAAGGATGAAGCAGGAGGATCACTTGAACCAAAGAGTTCAAGACAACCTGGGTGACATAGAGAGACTCTATCCCAAAAATTAAACAAACAATAGCATTCTTAGAATACAACAAGTCTCCATAAAAATTGGTCAAAAGCGTGAATAGACATTTCTCTAAGGAAACTTACACATGTGTAATAATTACATGAAAATAAAAATCATGCAGAAAATAAAAATCAAAATTACAATGAAATAATGCTTCGGGATCCATTCATATATCCATGTTGAAAAATCAAACATAACAACAAATGTCAGTGAAGATAAGGAAAAATTCTACTTCTAGGTATATACCCAAAGAATTAAAAGTAGGGACTAAGAAAGATAATTTTATAATAATGTTCATAACAATAATATTTATACAAGTTGAAAAGTTGAATGTACATTTCCAGGGGAAAATGGATAAATAAAATTTGTTATATACATAAAAAATATAATTCCTTAAAAATAAATAAAATATAATATAACATTAGAAATTCTGATTTTCATTTCCCAATATGAATGAAGATATTGAATACTTTCTCTTATACATATTCAACAGTTGTATTTCTTTTATTCATTAATTTTATTGATACATTTTAGATATACAATATGATGACATTCATCACTGAGATATTGTACCTTTACATGATATATCTTGATTTTTATTTTTCCCCATTCCCCCACACTCCCTTCAATCCCTCCACCCCTCCCTATTTATAAAGACTTTGTTTCCATTTTTCCTTTTCTTATATTCATTCCTTTTCCTTCTTTCCTTTCCCCTACCCCTCCTACTTCCCCTTCTCCTTTGTACCTTTTCTTCCTATTTCACATTATCTATTATACACTTTGATCCTTATTTACACTGTCACTTTCTCAAACCAGAGACACTATTCAGTATTTACATGTTTGTTCTATTTATTTTACTTAAGAGTATGGCCTCAATGTGTATCCATTTATCTATAAATGCCTGTAGTTTCTCATTCTTTATGGCTGAGTAGTAGCTAAAAGTTGGAAACTACCCAATTGCCCATCAACTGGAGACTGGATAAAGAAGATGTAGTTTTATGTGTGTGTGTGTGTGTGTGTGTGTGTGTGTGTGTGTGTGTATCAGTTGTATTTCTTTGAAATATTTCTTGTTCAATTCATTTACCCATTAATTGATTAGGTTGGTTTTTGGTGCTAACTTTTCAAATTTTTTATACATTCTAATTAATCTTCTGCCAGAAGAGTAGCTGGCAAAAATTTTCTCCCATTCTGTAATCTGTCTCTTGAGATTCAAGTTCTCCCTGTTAAGAATGGCTGTCATCCACTACTGTATCATACCTCTATGAATGTAAAATATCTAGTACCTGCTTTATGATCCATAGTAGGGACCGTGCTTTATCAGAGCTACATTTAATGATATTACTCTAGAATGTTCTCTTTCCAGATGATGATTAAGAGGCTAATAGAAAAAAT